ATCATAGATTGCATATGAAAACTATGGTATCTCATATATTTATCTTTTGTAAAGGCCAAATCTTACAATCTCTGTTCAGCCAAAACTTTATGTAAAAGAGAAAACTTGTGATTCTAAAGCCTGTATTCCATAGTTCAGTCACACTCATTGGCTTTCTTACCACTCTTTCACCAGCTCAGACTACACGACAGGCAGTGAGGAGGCCCAGGACCGGAATGTAAATGGTTCAGTACGACAGAAGAGTAAGAGAGAACGTTGTTGTCCAAGAATCACATACAAAAAAGCAGTCAGAAGTGATGTTGTTACCTGTAACTCTACACTGATTTTAGTGGTGATTTTTTTCTAAGTAAGGACTAGAGGTTTAGCTTTAACACTTTTATTTTGCTTACGTTATTTACTAACTTAAAGCTAACTTTATTCTTTACTTCTAGGAAATAGTTATTTTGGCATTATGCATTACTTCAGTAAGGATGATTTATGATGTTTTGAAATGGCAGCAGGAACTGAATCAAACTTGAGATATTAAATTCAGATATAAAGGATAAAAGACATCTCTTTATTCATCTTGTTAGTCATCTGACCCATAAACTGTAGAAGCTTACAGCTAAAAACATTTGTTTCACTTGCAACTTGCATTTTGCCTCTTTTTGAAAAAGGTATAGAAATGCATTTCAAATGGAATGATTTCCAGAACAGTTTATAAAGCAGCTTTTTTCTTCAGAAGTTATCGTTCATTTATTTTATATCTATTTTCTTTAATGGGATAGCTTTGAATGACTCATATAACCTTCTTTTTTATGCAGACTATGATTTGATGCACTTAAGATGTGTCCCCATGCAAATTAACAGTTCACAATAAGAACAAAAATAAACAGTACTGAGACTACTATCTGCAGTTATCCTCCTTTCTGGTGGTTGATATGGCCTAGAGATAGTCAAACAGCAAATTAAAAGAGATGAGAAGAAAAGGCAATCAATATGCTGCACTCACAAAAAGCCAGAAGCAAGGGCAACAGTTTTAATGTATCTTCAGTAAGTAAACAAGTATCATACCTTTTTAAAAATTCCATATATTCAGTATGCTTGATGAGGCCTGTCCTCATCATAATTGTTTGAAAACATTGCCGATCAATAGCCCAAAGTTTCACATTTACGAGAGCTGGAAAAAAAACAAGACAAGGGAAAAATTTAATTAGCAAATTTCAGATTTGAAGAAATGTTTGTGAAGTGCAGAGAAAATTAATTGTTTGTGAGAGCGCATGAAAATGACTAGCTTTTTACACACTTGAAAATATTAACATAAAACTAATATACTGGACAATGGACTGACTATGCACCATTAGGATACCAAATATAAATCAAATTTTACCCCAAAATCTTATCATAGTTTTCATGTCCATATATGTGAGGCGGTGGGGGGAGACAGAGGGATAAGAGGCAAAGTAGGGGTAATGCCTGAGCAAGAATTGTGTCATCAGAAAGTGAGTAAATGCCAACTGAAAATTATTATAGTATGGAGAAAAAGAAAAGAAAGAAGCATCTTTATTAATAGTTACCTGCAATAAGCCTTTTAATATGCACATCTTATGATGCTGCATAACTTTGGCATAGACATTCAATATGCCTGAGGTAGAATTGATCCAAGTTACATGGTTTTCTGTAAGCAGCATAGTTAAGATAGGTAGCAAACAAAATACACATTGGCTCTTTGGTGGAAATCTTAAGACTGTGTTCCACTAATTTTAAACCAGTCTATATGTGCTGAACTTATGTTCTGTTACAGGTTACAGGTATAGATTGATTTCCAATCACTTATACTGGTAAAAGTGTAATGTCTGTACATGACCTTTTTGGAGAAATTTTTGAGGAGTATCCTTGATTTATGGCAGAAAAGTTCATCAGAGCTTGATCCCACTCCTGTTAAAGTAAATAGAAAAAATCCCCCTGGCCTTAAGTAAGTTTAGGAACCCAATACTACTAGTTAGTTTACAGCATTGTGCCCATTTTGGAGGCAAACGCTTCTTTAACAAGAATGTTTTGAATGTTTTTTGTTTTTACTCTATGTTAAAATTATGGATTACAAAAACAAACCACCAACACAGATTCCCAGCCCAGAAATGTGGGCCACAGCTGGATGTTTTCATGCCACTGATTTTCCTCCTTATTTTCAGCTGCCAGTTGCTGAAAATCTGATTTAAACATTTATCTAGGTAGGGAAACAGTTTTATTGCCATAGCTATTTCCTGCAGTCATAAACCTATCTCACAGGAGAAGATCCAGACAGCTGCAAACAGAAAATGACTAGCCATGAGACAATTCCTCTATTAAAACTAAAGTCTGAAAAAAAATCTCTGCTGTAAAAAAAGTTTAATGTAAAATATTTTTTTCAACAATTACTTCTGAGAAATGAACTCTAACCTCAGAAAATGTTCATTAGAACAAAAAATATCACCGCAACCAGATTTTCAGATGACTGGATGTAAGATTTTTTTCATTGTGGCTTTGTCCCAGCTCCAGACCATGCTGTCACTGCTGCAAGGAGCTGAGGCAGAACCGTGATCTGCTGCCTGCACGGCTCTGCCCAGAGCATGAAGGCTGCAGATCACAGCTCTGCCCTGACTCTGGACCACACTATCATCATTGAAAGATCCCAGCCTGGCCCCAGAGCAGCTCCATGCCCTGCTGCGCTCCCTGCCAGCACTGCTGGGGCCAGTCTCCATGGAAACCCTGACCCCGTGCCATCACAATGTGGCTGCTGCTGGGGTCCCCATGAAAATTGCCCCCAGCCACATGGGAAATGGTGTCTACTCTTGGCCGGATCTAGGCTGCAGGCCAGACTTTGCCCACCCTGGTGTAGAAAGTAAGACAAACATTGAAGGGGTTATTTTAATATTTATCTTTTGTAGTTCAAGGAATCTGAATCAGTGACCTAGTGTTTTATAATAAGATGCTTCTGATTTATAAGGCTCAATAAAAGGATGCACTATATGTGAATTGGACCTCTGCTGTCTGGGTGTCCTGCTTTTCCAAATCAATTTGCTGCTTTTTGATGGAAGTTATTCCTATTTTAAAGAAGGAGGTGAGTGTTGTTTAGCAGATCATCAGGAAAAATCTTAGACAGGGCCTCTTTGTTCTTCTATTTATTGATAATTTTAGGGTTTTGTTTTTTTTTTTCAATTTCTACAATCAGTGAAATCCTGGCAAGCTAGCATGAGCAGAAATAAATATATGATACTCTCTCTGAATTCTAGTCCTCTCAAAAAATTAAATGATGTCCACTAGTTTGGCAATTTTAAAATTATTTGTATTCCACATATTGCATGATTGTCATTTATCCTTCATGCTGAGATTTGCAGTGCCTTGAATGTATATATAGCTACTGGTCTGGTGACGAATAGTAAAATAGTAATAACTTGGAAAGTGATGGAGTGAATATGAAATTAATGGATGGAGTGTGATTTCATGCATTTTAAGGTTGGACTAAAAAGTGCTTTGAGTCTTGCATTTAATTTTCCATGTGTTCTATCATAATATATCTATCTTCTTATCAAACTAAGATTTTTTGAAGTAAATAAAGCTATTTTAAGTACAGTTCTAATACATGTTAAAGGAAAAAATGTTCTGATACTATGAAGTACCTTACTGTACTGATAAAATGTTCTGATACTATGAAGTACTATTCTTCAATAGTCATTTTTTGGTTTCAGTAACAGGTCATAAAATGAACATTCTTTTATAAGGTATCCAAGCTGTAGCCATATTGACCTAGAGGAAAAAGAAATCAGGACTTGTAGAGATGACACCTTTTATTAGATCAACAAGATTTTTGCAAAAAAAATCTTCGATCGCAAGCTTTCAGGCACAAACACCCTTCATGAGGCATTGGATAAAAGATTGTAAAAGTTCTCCTGGGTAGAAATGAAAGTTCATATTTCATAGGATTTCACAGAGGAGTCAATAGATGGAAAACTTTTGGGCAGTCAGTTCATAGCTGGTACCTGCCTGCCCAGAGGAGTTTTTCATCTGTGAAATCCTATGAAATACGAACTTTCATTTCTGCCCAGGAAAACTTTTACAATCTTTTATCCAATGCTTCATGAAGGGTGTTTCTGCCTGAAAGCTTGCAATTAAAGAATTATTTTTGCAAAAATCTTGTTGGTCTAATAAAAGATATTATCTCTACTATGAGTCCTGATTGCTTCATTCTTTTATAAAGCTTTTGTTTGAAAACACAATTTTCAGATTGGCATGATTGCTAAACTGGAGATCAAGTTGAGAATGCTTTGAAGACAGCAATGAAAATATTTAAGTAAAATGACTCTTTTAAATCCATCTGTTCAATGTTTGGTTACAAGAAACAGTATTTTAATAAACATTATGAATTCAAATCTAGTCAACCACTAACTTGTTTCCCACTTCTCAAATTAGAACTATACTGACCATTTGATTTCTTGGGTATCAGTACCTATTGACAAGAATGTACTCTTTTTGAGAAATAGAATATTAAGGATTTTGATTATAAAAAGTCCTCTTCCTCCATGGTCTTACTATCGAGGTGTGAAGGAGATGTGTGTCCATCAAATAGTATAACCTGAAGAAAATAACCTGAACATTTCCCAGATTCAGATAGAATTGAGATTTATGTCAGGATGGCAGAGCTCAATATTCTGAAAGATATCCCACCCTTCTTTTCTATACTTCATTCTGATTCCCTTATTAGGAGTTCAGACACTAGCTCAACCTTGTTACTCTTCCAGTAGACAATCTAAGCAGAGAGTAGGAACAGATGTTCTTTGCTACAAACATAGTCAAAAGAACACTTGATAAAAACTGTACCATCTCCCCACTTTAGACAAAAAGTCTGTATTCAAATATATCTGACTTAATGGATTCATCATCTATTGTAAATGATGCATTGAAAATATAGATACTAAAAAAAATCTGGTACTGGTGTCATTCACAGTTAATAGGCATTTAGAGTGTGTTAATGTTCAGTGACCATGACCAGACCATGGCAGGTAATAGCAAATGGATTCAGCTGCACATCTGATGGCCAGATACTTGCTATTACATATCAGAGTATAAGTCATAATAGTGCACATAAATAACCCTACGAATGTTTGCCAAGAAAAAAATATTCCGTTTCGCATCTTGGCACAGGGCATACCTTCTTGTCAAAAAATCATAGGGCCATAGGTGCTTATGGTATTTAAGTCACTATTATGACTTAAATCTGTAACTGACAGCAATTACAGATTTAAATGCCATTGATAGTTTATATGAGTTTGTAGAAAATACCTAGATTTAGAGTATATTTTGCTTGCTACAATAGATTCATGTGTGCCTATAAAGATACCAGGTATCTCTTAAGTACACTCCAGTACAAAAAAAATGCATAAGCTGTAAGCAGTCATTCATTCTTCCTTGATCCATAGAAGCCTACTGAAATATTATATCCTATTTTACTTCAAAATATATTTGAGTGGTATGTCATTGCTATATGGAAACTGACACAGCCACATTTGTTCCTTTTGTCCTGAAAACATAAAGAATTCTCCCGAAAAGTAATCTAGTGCATCTCAAACTACTCTTCTACTGTAAAAGTATTACATAAAATTAGTTAAAATAAGTAGAAAAAAATCTTAATCATGCCAATTTATTTAATCAAAATTTGTGGGAGGTACTCAAGGAATTCTCCATTGAGTCCCAAGCATATCTGTTCAATTACAAATGAAGAGTCTCATATTTTAAGGTACTGAACACTTAATGGGAGATGCTAAGCATTCTAAATTCCTTACAAACATAATGTCTTCAATGGGAGTCAGTTGTCAGTGTCCTCCAAACCTTGGAAATTTCCATCCACACCGTTTTATTTATATATATAAATGAAATGAAAATAACCCTTTAAATTTACCACTGTATCACTAATTATACATTCCTAAATAGTTTATGTAGGACAAAAAAGTACCTTCAAATGACTAATTCATCACGCCTTAACTGATGTGTTTAGAATCACTAGTAAAACATATAATGTCTAGTGCCCTGTGGCAGGGCGTTGTCCATGCCTGCCACTTTAAGGGCTGTAACTGATAGCATCCAGGTGCTTGGTTTCAGTGGCCATTTTACAGAGCAGCTATAAATACGGAAGCAACAGTTTGC